TTGGGAGGCAGAGACAGGAGGCTTTCTGTGTGTTTGAGACCAGCCTGGTCTACATAGTTTTCAGACTGGAGCTAGGGATACAGCACAGTTGGTAGAGTGCTTATTTAGTATGCTTGAAGCTCTGTGTTCTATCCCTAGCACTGCATAAACCAGGTATGTGTTGGTATGAGCCTGTAATCCCAGGATTTAGGAAACAGGCTAGAAGTTCAAGGTCATCCTTGGCTACATAGTGATTTGAGGCTGTGGCTCCAATTTTTTTTTTCCCCCAGAATGTAAGTATAGCTCAAGGGTAGAGCCCTGCCAACAGAAGAAGAAATCTTAAATATTTTGTTTCTGTTTTTTGAGGCGGAGTGTTGCTCACTGGCCGTCTGGCCTGGGCACACAGCGCAACAACAGAAACAGCAAGAGAAACCTTGGCTCAGCTAGGTGCAAGATAAGAACTGACTGTCAGGGCTGGAGAGATGCTCAGAGGTTAGGAGCACTGACTGCTCTTGCAGAGGACCCGGGTTCAATTCCCAGCACCCACATGGTGGCTAACAACTATCCGTAACTCCAGTTCCAGGGGAATCCAATGCCTTCATCTGACCTCTGTGGCAGTGCACAACACAGGTGCACTCACATACATGCAAGCAATACACTCACACACATAAAATAAAAATAATAAATAAAATGTTAAAAAGAAAAAAAAAGAACTGACTGTCGAAAGTTGTCCTTTGCTGGGATCGGACTTTGAAATGTCACTGGTGGGGCCGGAGAGATGTTCAGTAGTTAATAGCACTGGCTGTTCTTGCAGAGGACCTGGGTTCAGTTCCCAGCACCCACGTAGCAGCTAAGAATCATCTGTAACTCCAGTTCCAGGGGATCCAACATCCGCTTCTGGCCTCTGTGGGCATTGCACTCACGTGGTGTACGTACATGCATGCAGACAAATACTCATACATATAAAATAAAAATGAAATCAGATCTATTTAAAAAAAAGAAATGGCAATGGAAATAAGAAGTCTTCTAACAGAAATCATTCAGAATTGAGGCTTGGCTCTGCCTTTTAGTCCACAATGGCTTAACTGGCTCTCAGACCAAAGTTCACATAGCTGCACTGCTAGGAGCAACTGAGACCCTGCCAAGGAACTGCTTACTTTACTTAATCACTGCTCCTTAGCCATGTGGCTGTCCTCGATGCCCAGCTAATTCTTGCAACTTTGAATGTCTTATACTGAATTTATAAGTTCTACTTTTCCTGACATTAAAAAAAAAAAACCATGGTTGGGTCTGGAGAATTGGTTCAGTGGTTAAGAGCACTGACTGCTCTTGCAGAGGACCCAGCTTCAATTCCCAGCATTCACATGGCAGCTCACAACCATCTGTAACTTCAGTTCCAGGGGAATTAAATGCCCTCTCTGACCTCCTCTGGCAATGCTGGGTGCATTTACATACATGCAGGCAATACGCTCGTACACATAAATAAAAATAATAAACGATATTTTAAAATTATGATTAGAAAAACATCTAACAGGGCTAGGGAGATGGCTCTGTGAGTAAAGTGTTTACTGCCTAAGCAGGAGGAGCTAAAAAGCCAGGCATGGTGGCATGCACCTGTAACTGTAGCACTGGCTTGGTGGGAGGCTGGTTTGAGGAGGGGGCTGGGAGACAGGATCCTTGAGGCTTGCTGACCCAACAATTTAACTGAAATGGTGAGGTTCAGTGAGACACCCTTTCTCAGAAAATAAAGTGGAGAGTGACAGAAGACGCCTGGTGTTGGTCTCTGACTTCCACATGAACACATATACACATGTACCTGCACACACATGCATATAACAAATACCAAACACAAAATTTACCATATTGAGGGGCTGGAGAGATGGCTCCATGGTTAAGAGCACTGGCTGCTCTTCCAGACAATGCAGGTTCAGCCCCCAGTCACTCATATGGCGGCTCTCAACTGTCTATAACTCCAGTTCCAGAGGATTTGGCACCCTCTTCTGGCCTCTGTGGGCATTGTATGTAGGAGGTGTACCTACATACAGGCAAAATACTCATACACAAAATAAAAATAAATAGATAAATAAGCAAATTACCATATTGGGCTAGAAGCATGGCTTAATGATAGAACATTTGCCTAACATGAGAGGGACCTTGGGTTTGATTCTCATCTCATGCGCACACACACACACATGTCACCGAAACAGTTCGTGTCCGTGCAGTGATACGTTCCCTATGTGCTACAAAAGATCTTCAGATATTTAGGATTTTGTCATCTTGCAAAAGAAACCCATGTGTAGTCACCATACAACAATTTCTATTTTTCCCAGCCCCAGGCAAACACCACTAAATTTCTTTCCTAAGAGCTTGGCTACTTTAAAAACCTCATATAAATAGAATCATGCAGTATCTGGTTTGAGATTGGCATGTTCCATTTAACATAGTCTTCTCAAGTTTCAAATATGTTATCGTACATGCCAGTATTTTCTTCTTTTTGAAAGCTGAATAATATTCCATTATGGGTACATACTACTTTTTTGCTGTTGTTAGAAACAAGGTGTCCCTACATAGCCCAAGTCACAGCTGACCTCGAACTTTCAATCTTCCTGCTTCAGTCTTTCTAGAAGTGAGATCACAGGTGCACATCCCATGTGCAGCTTCTGTTTTGTTGTTTGTCTTTGGGGCAATGTCTTACTCTGTCGCTCAGGCTGGCCTGGACCTCCTTGTACAAAGGTGGTTCAAACTTGTGATCCTCCTGCCTCTACTTCCCAAATGCTAGGATTAGAAGCAAGTGCCACGACATTTTACCTTTTTTTGTTTTTAATAGAGCAACTTTATTATTCTATGATTTTATTGTGTTCTGTGATTCTCAGCCTGGCATGTCTAAGACACAAAGTTTGCCCGATCATGTATACTCAATTCACTGTTGACAAATCGTTCTAATTGAATACATAGAGGATTTGGGGATGTGAACGTTTAACGGAAAGTGATCCAGGTTTCTAAGCAGTCTATGAAAAATAGAGTAAGTCCATAAGATAATTGATAATTTCACAATCTAAGGCATTTAATATTGTTGCGATGTGACGAGGACAGAAATAAAGTTCGAACCTACTGCCGATTGGCCTTTTGAGCTGAAAACTGTAAAGCCGTTTGCTGGTTTACTTGTTTGAGATAGGGCTTCACTCTAGCCCAGCTGGTCTGGAACTCACTATGTAGCCCAGCCTGGCCTCAAACTCTCTACAATCCTCCAGCTTCAGTCTCCTGAGTGCTGGGATTATAGATGCGAGCCACCACCATTGGTTTTTTTCTTTGGGGGAGGGTGTTAATCTCTCTTACTGCATTTTGTGTATCTCTGTGTGTGTGTGTGTGTGTGTGTGTGTGTACGCCATGTGATGTGTACCTGCATGCCATGGCACAGATGTGGAGATCAGAGGACAATGTGGAGGGTCAGTTCTTTCCTTCCACCATGTGGGACCCAGAGATTGACTTAGGTTGCCAGGCTTGCTGGCAATCAAGTGTCTTTATCTTCTGAGTCATCTTGCTGGTCTTTTTGTGTTTATGAAAGGAAATAAGGTTTTTAAGTAATTGTGCTATCGAATCACTTTATGTTCTTCATGGCCTTTTCTGTATCTTCTTTGATCAGCTTTGATCTTCAGAGAGATATAAATGGACACAGAAATAGTCCTAAACAGAAATAGTGGTCCTTGACTGATGGTGGTTAGACTTGCTGGTAACAATGTTGTAAAAGCATCACACATTCAGCAGAAAGTAGTAATTGCACTAGAAAGTAAACTTCCAATTTAGATTTTAAATATTTAGCATTATTAATTATTATTATTCTTTTTGAGACAGGGTCTCCCTGTAGCCCCAGCTGGCCTAGAACTCTCTATGTAGAGCAGGATGACCTCAGTCTCACAGAGAGCTGCCTGCCTCTGCTTCCCAAGTCCTGAGATTAAAGGAGTTCATCACCATGCCCAACTTATTATTTTTATGTGCATGAGTGTTTTGCATGCATGTATGTAAATGCACCCCTGTCATGCAATGCCCACAGAGGCAACAAGAGGGCGATAGACACCCTGGACCTGGAGTCGTTTAGCCACCATGTGGGTGCTAGGAATCAAATCCTGGCCCCTCTGCAAGGGCAGCAAGCACTCTTAACCACTGAGCCATCTCTTCAGCCCCTCAATTTAGATTTTAAATCCTTTCCAAGGGTAATGGTAAGCAGCTAGCCACAGCTCCTTGTCAACACAGGTTCATGGGGGAATCCACAGATATACTTCTGGTGCTCTGCAAGCTAGGGACAGTAAACACACTTTCAGATGCCTTCAGGCTCCAGTGGGTTCACCCACAATGAGTCATGGTGCCAGAACCCGCCGTTAAGTGGAGGGGCACCAGCAGAAATGTAATGGAAGGAATATCAAGTGTTTGTTTTACTAATTGAAATGAGGAAGAAACAAAAATGGGTGTGGATCTTTCTGTCACCAAAGCCTGGCACCGTCTGGGGCAGCAAACTCTCCACTCTGTGGAGTCCTCCAGTGGGAGTCAAGGTAAACCTCTACCTAGTCTCAAAAATTATCCTCCTTTGAGAAGATAGAGCTCTAAAATGACCATCAGCCTAGATGATGGAAAGAAACAGTGAAAAGATATACATGTCACTAATGGAACAGATTCATTCATCAGCTGAGTGAAAATTCATATCCTAGGACTGAGGATGTAGCTATGTTGGTAGAGTGCTTGCCCAGCATGTACCAAGCCCTGGCTTCCATCCCCAGCATGGTATAAACAGGGCCTGGTGACACACAGAGTGCCAGCACTCAGGAAGTAGAGGCAGGAAGATCAGGAGTTCAAGGTCATCCTCAGCTACTTATGGAGTTTGAGGCCAGCCTGGATATAGTAGACCCTTTTTCTTTCCTTTTTTAAAAAATATTTTATTTATAGCCGGGCGTGGTGGCACATGCCTTTAATCCCAGCATGGGTGCTGGGATTCGAACCCGGGTCTTCTGCAAGAACAGCCGGTGTTCTTAACCGCTGAGCCATCTCTCCAGCCCAGTAGACCCTTTTTCAAATAAAAAAAATAAATAAAATAGAGCCAGCAACATGTGTACGTACACACATATACACATGCACATACACACTACCTGCAATAATATATAACAAAAATTTAAAAACAAAAAATACACATTCTACCCCTCTTAGCTGAATATAGATAGAGATCCACCTGCCTCAGCATCTCAAGTGCTGGGATTAAAGGCGTGCACCCTCAGGCTTCAGCCTGCTGCAGTGTTTTTGTGAGGCAGAAAAAAGGAAATAAGGAGAGGCCCTTCTCTTTCTTAGGAAGAGAGTACAGCCTCTGGGGCAGGGAGGAAAGAAGGAGAATTTTCTAGAGAGCCAGGTGACTTCTCCACCTGCTGGCTGAGGTGTTCACCCTCCAGGCAGCACCTGAATTTCTCACAAAGGGACAAACTCCACCCATAGGGTGGGGGACCTGGGACAGAAAGCTGGTCTCTTTAGTCAGCTGAGGGCTGGAGAATGGGGTTGCACAGTTGGAGTGCTAGAGTGTTGCAGGGATTGGGAGTCAGAGGTTAGAAAAGAGGAACCTGTTTAGGGAGTTCAAGAGGGCCAGGTGCTGGGGAGTGGGTCCTCTCAAGAAGGAACACCTTAGGGATGGTCCAGGGTAAAAGACGGCTGGGAGGAGCCAGAGGAGACAGGCACTGGAGGCATCAGATGTGCCAAATTATAGAGCCTGGGTTTCCTTTGCTTCTGCTTGGGCCTGCTCCTCGGGCCCTGTTCACAGACTCCTAAAGGACAGAAACACCTACAAAGCAAGATCAACAGTTGATTCATCAGTCCTTCAGACTTTATCCCTAGCCCTACAGCTCCAGAGGATTTGGAGATCTGCAGATAACGTACTATTCTTGGACTGTGAACAATAACCACCCCTCTCCCACACAAAGAAAAGGCCTTTCAGGGGAGAGTGCATAGGGACTCTGGCTTCGGGCTTCTTCCAGGGGGCTTCAGGATCTGTCTGGGCTACAGCCCTGAAAGAGCGTGCCCTCCAACTTCTGACTTGTGCTGCTGGAGACCACAAAAACTAACCTGCCAGGCCTCCCATTTCGTCACTGGGAAGTGGGTCTATTAACAAGCCCTGTTGATGATACCTGCAAAAAGCATTGTAGTCTGTCAGGGACTTACTGGTGTCCCCAAAAAACAGTCAAAGAGAGAAATAGCCTGGATGTGCTTTGACCTATGTTATTGAGTGCTTATTACTAGGTTAACAGACCCATAGATAGATAAATCATTGAAGAGAGTAAATTTCCCTTCTCTCCAGTTGTGGTGGGGGTGTGTGTGATTTTAAGGTTAAAAAGATTTATTTACTTTTTAATATATATATTTTTAATGTGTATGAGTATTGCCTTCATGTATGCTAAGTGCAGCTGTGTCATGCAATGCCCGTGGGAGGTCGTAAGTGGGTGTCATGTGCCCTGGAACTGGAGTTAGGGATGGTTGTGAGCCATCACGTGGGTGCTGGGAATCGAAACAGAGTTCTCTGCTAGAGCGTCACGTGCATGCAATGCCCCATAGAAGCTGGAAGAGGGCATCAGAGCCCCTGGAACTGGAATTAACAGACTATTGTTCACCTCCATATGGGTGCTGGGAACCAAACCCAGGTCCTCTGAAAGCAGCCAGTGCTCTTAACCACTGAGCCATCTCAGCAGTCCCTTATTTTTATTATTTTTAATTATATGTATCATGTGCGATGTGTACGTGTCTGCAATGCATGAGGGATATTTGCACGTGAGTACAGGTGCTCATGGAAGCCAGAGGTGTCGGGTCTCTCTGGAACTGGAGTCATAGGAAGTTGTGAACCACCTGGTGTGTGTGCTGGGAACCGAACTCAGTTTCTCTGAAGAAGCAGCAGGAGCTCTAAACGCTGTCTCCCTAGCCCTGCCCAATGTTGTCATTTTTAAATAGGCTTAGGAATAAGGCTGTCCTTGGAGTGTGAGTGTGGCTCCCAGACGTGGAGGGGTCCTGGGAACTTAGTTCCTGATACTCTTCTTCAGTCGGAATCCCTTTCCTCCGAGGCCTGTAGGTAGTAGGTGAGTAGGTGTGTGAGCCGCAGGAACAGACGGGAAAAACCTCAGCTGTTCAGGAAGAAACAGGACGTGAAACTCAATGACGAGGAACATAATAATAGCAATATATTTCTGGCCTCAGCCGCAAGGTGCACGATCGCTTTAGTTAATTGCAAACCGCAACCCCAGCGGGTTTGGGCGGAAGACAGGCAACCTGGGCAGGGAACACAGCGTGGCCCGCGCGGGGACTCTGAGGGCAGTGGGCGGGGCCCGGTGGGGGAGGTGGGCGTGGCCTCCGCGTGGCCCCGCCCCTCCGGGTCTGGCGCGGGCGGGCAGAGCGCTGGTTAAAGAGCCGAGCGGAGGCCTTGCTGTGCCGACTGCCGCGCGCGCACCGCAGCGGCACACGTGTCTCCTCCGACCGGGTCCCGAGTTTTCACCCCGCTTTTCAGGATCTGGAATTTGGGGGACACCCCCACCCCACCTCCTTGGTGTGCATTCACCCCCAGCTCGCGTGAGCGTGGTCCACGCAGTTCCCGGGAAGCCAACGTGGAGGAGCAAACTTTGTCCCGGGAGCCGCGCGCCCTGGGGGGTACGGGGCACTGCGCATGCGGAGCTCCAAATTCAAACAGCTGTGTGCAAAGGCTGCAGGGGCGGGTGGACCCGGAGCCGCGGGGACTTTAGGGGACGCTTTCTCTAAGGAGGTGGCTGCTCCGGAGCCATGGTGGACCGGGGTCCCCTGCTCACCTCGGCCATCATCTTCTACCTGGCCATCGGGGCGGCGATCTTCGAGGTGCTGGAGGAGCCGCACTGGAAGAAGGCCAAGAAAAACTACTATACGCAAAAGCTGGATCTGCTCAAGGAGTTCCCGTGCCTGGGCCAGGAGGGCCTGGATAAGATCCTGCAGGTGAGCCGCCGCCTGAAACCCCCAGATAGGCACCTGAAAGGGAGGACCCCCTCATACCAGCTCCCTACAGCTTCTGAAGATCCCCGGTCCCAATGGGAGGTCCCGGGGTAGCAAGGAGAAAATGTCCCACTAGGCGTCAAGTTGCAAGGATGTGTCGCTCGCCCAGGGATTTATGGCCTCCCTCACGCGCGAACTTAATGTGTCCCTAGAAAAGTTGGGGTTGGGGTTGGCTCCCGGCTGGACTGGGCCCGGCGGTGGCTCGGTGTGGGTGTGCGGGTGCCTCCCTCTTTGGAGGGAGGCTGTGGGGCGGATAAAGGCGTTTATCTTCCCTTGGAGACGCTCCCGGAGTCCGGGAGGCGAGCCGGGTACCACCCCTAGCTTCTCCACCTCTGGCTCCAGGGCCGTTGCCGCGCCCGGACGACCTTTCCTAGGAACTGAAACCAGGCGGAGAGCCCCCAGCCCCATCATGGTGCAAAATCGACTCACGCGGCCCCTCCAAGAGGGACAGGGGGCTGCGGCGACACCGGTGACTTGAAATGCTGGGCTTCCGGGAAGGCTTATCAGGAGGAGACATCCCGCCGAGGCTTGGAGTTAAACTTTGTCTGAACACCAGGTTGCTTTAGGGGAACCAAAACCCGGGAGAGGGAGGAGAATGCGGGTGAGGGAAGCTTCCTCGCCGTTAGCTTGGGGAGTCTCTTATCTGCTGGTGCACAGCCCATGACCTCACCAAGGTAAACGGCTGACCATCGCAACTGGGACCTTGAGCCAACTTGGGGTCAGAGGTCCATCTGCCTGTTTCTTGAGGGCTCAGCCTCAACCATCCATCTCTTGGCCCGTGGCCACCCTTCAAGTACCTAGAGGACCAATAGAGTTGGAGGGATACTTTGCTCAAGACTGCAGGAACATTTAATCTGCAGCAGTTCCCCAGTCCTTTCCACTCAAGTAACGTCTCTGACTTTTCAGCCTTAGTTTTCCCCAATGGGAACAGACCCATCTTCATCTTTGTCCTGACGTAGAATGTTACAGTGTTGAAAAAGCTTTGCAGAAACCAGAACACACCTTGCTGGTACTAGGATTCTTTTTCATCTCCAGGTCTGAGATGGACATTCACACAGTCCATGAATGGACATGAATTTCAGGTGCTGGAGGGATCGTGGGACTTGTAAAGACATTTGTCCTCAGGAGGCCTGTGGAGCCTGAGGTTTTGCACTAACAAGTGCAGTGTTGCCTTTTAAGTAGCGTCTTCTGCCTCACTTGGGTGCAGTTTCTAGGCTGGGAGTGGGTTGGAAGGTGGTGCTTGGGGGTGAGTTTCAAAAGATGCTTGGTTTTTCTAGCTCCCCAAAGCCGTTCTGGAACTGTGGATCAGGTGGGGGTGGGTACCTTCTGCTGGGTGATTGCCGTGTCTGGGTGTACTGGGAGAGTGGGGTGTCCACTCTAATTTCCCTGGAGGAAAGAATTCTTAGGAAGGAGAGTTATGGTTTAGTTTTTTATTGAGAGGTGGCAGAAGGCCGGCGGGGATGGTAAGGCTGGATCTGCCCTCTAGCCATTTCCCTGTTCACTGCTCCTCCGCCTGGGCAGGGGAAGGAAGGAAAGAAGTCAAGGCTAAATGTGGGAAAATAAACTTCAAAACACTAGGAGAAGGGAAGGGGGGTGGGGTGGGTAGGGGTTATGCAGCCCAGTGCCACTGGTAGTGGTAACTTTGCAAACTAGACAGCTTCCGTAAGATCTTTGGGGAAAAAAAAAAAAACACTTTTATTTTGAGGTCTTGTCTATCAGCAGCCTCCCACTTCCACCCCCAAAGAGGACAGGTAACTTAGAGAAAGAATTTGAGCAACATCACATCAGGGTGATTTAGATTCTAAGATGCCTGCTTGAATGAACAAGAACTGCCCTGTCCCCATCACAGCACCCCCCACCAAATTGCAAATCAACTCCAACTGGGCAAGTCCCCTCCCTTCATAGGAAAAAACCCAAGGAAGGAAAACCAACCCAGGGGAAAATTTGGCAGTTTAAAAGTTTTAATCTGCAAAAATCTGCCTCTCTTAGCTTTCTGATCTGTGCCTCGGAGTATTGCCTCAGGCTTCAAGGAAATTACTTTAAAGAAAAATGAAAATTCAGTATCTTCCTTCGGATCTGTCCACCTGGGTATTTTCCACCTGAGGTCCTAAGGTTTTAGCTTGTCTGAATTGCTGGGTAATCACGAAGAAGAAAAGAAGTTTCTTATCTGAGAATTCCTGGGCAGGGATGAAGTCTCTCCTGGGGGTTCTTGGACCAACTTGGGACCCCTTGACAGCCCTGCTTCCTGTCTTCAAAACTGAACCCTCACTCAAGCCAGGACTCCACCCTATTTATTAATATTATTATTTTGTTTGTTTCTGGAGGCAGAGTCTCACTGTAGCCCTGAACTCGCTGTGTAGACCAGGCTGGCCTTATAAAAGTACTCCAGCCTCTGCCTCTTAGGAACTTGATACATACATAGATCAGGCTGGCCTTAAATGCACAGAGATCTGCCTGCCTCTCCCTCCTGAGTGCTGGGATTAAAGACGCTCGCCACCATGCTCAACTTTTGTCACATAATTTCTACAGTTAATTTTTGAGACTGGGTGTTGCTCAGACTGGCCTTGAACTCATTATGTATGTAGCTAAAGATTATACCTCCTGCTTCTACCTCCTGAACCATCATTTCCCAGAGAATATGGTGCTGGGGCTCAAACCTAGAGCCTATGTATGCTAAGCAGGCACTCTATCTACCCACTAAGCTACATCTCTAGCTGTTTCAGGACCTTTCGACAAGGTCCTAGAATGTAGTCCAGGCTACCTTTGAACTCATCCTCGTGCCCCAGCTTCCGGAATGCTGAGATTATAGGCTTGTGCTACCGGGCTTGGTGCCACCT